TTTAGGGTTAGGGTTCAGGGTTGAAGAAAGATCATGGGTAGTTTTAAGTTGGGGTTACACCCTAATTCATGTGGATGTTGGGTTTGGGCGAGGCTGGGGGGAGGCGTATGGGTTTTGAGTCTTCCCGGATTGGGGATCTGAAGGTTTGGGAACTTAGAGAACTCGATGCAGGAATTGTCGACCTTCTCGCCTGACATCATACCATTGATGGTATAAGCATAAATCCTCCTTGAGGCCCCTGGATTAATCTTAGGGGGATCTTTAGATTTGATTCGTCAAGGGATTATAAGTCTGCGTGACCCGACGCACCATAATTTCGGAGAATGATTGAAACCGTAAACCCTAAACCGGGTTAATGCAGGGCTTGTACAATCAACAGCAGAAGCAATGATGGCCACACCAGATAGCAGAGAATGTCATGCTCTGAACCCTAAACCCTATGTTGTGAACGCGGGTTTAAGGTTCATTCCTGGCACTTTCATGGGAGTCTCGCACGGAAATGCAGCAAAACTTCCAGCCCCTGACGTCCTCCGCATGACCGTTCGCCACTGCCTTGTGTCCGACGAAATACCTCCACTTGGCCCTATAAGCCCTAAGCCCTAAACCCTAAGCGCTCTAGGGTTCAACGGTTGCACTCTGAAGGAAGGAAAGCACGACGTCCTAAACCCTAAAACGTGTCTGTAAATCCACAATCTTGAAAGCCGGCCCAGTTGCGACATTGCGTCGGAGGCTGTTGGTCGGAACTGGTAGGCGGCTGCCTGCCATTGGGATGCTACCCTAAGCCCCAAACCCTAAAGCCCTAAACTCCAAACCCTAAACCCAAACCCTAAACTCTATAGCCCTCAACCCTAAACTAGGTGAACAAAATCTTGCACTGCCGAAGGTAGGGGCCTAAACAAAACCGCTGTCCGTAAAGAACAGGCCTGACCTTCCTGATTTGTTACGAACTCTCAATATAAATATGTTAAGATATTAAAAGAACCTGCATGATCAGAAGGGGCGAATTTGTTGATCGAATATGCTTGGCAAGGAGGATTCAGTAGAGGACCTGGAATACCCAGGCTGCTACCCTGCTACCCTGAACTATCTAGGTGAGCTCCAACACAAAGTCAGTAAACACCATGACAACGTGTTGTTGCTAACCTGCAATGCTGAACTACAAGCAGACAGAGCCTCTGCTCGTTAGAAGCAACCTTCCACACCGAAACCCTAAAATCTAAAGCTCAAACCCCAAACCTGTCGCCCCCATTATGTACAGCTTAGTAGTAATTATCCCCTACTTGGTCGAAATAGCCCATAACACTGCAGGTACTTGGGGTGACAGGAAAACCTCAGACCCCTGAACCCTCAGCCTCAGAAACCTCAGATCTGAGAACCTGAGCCCGCAGCTCTACATATTTCTATACTCCTTAATCCCAAAACCCGGTTCCCTAGACCCTAAACCCTAACCCCCAAACAGCAAACCCTAAATCCTAAACCCTAAACCCTAAATCCTAAACCCTAAACCCTAAATTCCTAAACCCTAAACCCTAAGCCCCAAAACCCTTCAATATCATCTGGAGCCTTGGTAGGCTTGAAGAGCACGTTGGTGTGGCCATATCCGTACAACTCACCCGCTGCCTTGGTAGCCTCTGCGACGTAGTCACCTCGTCAGGGCTTTGGGCTTAGGGTTTAAGGTATAGGGTTTTGGGTTTAGGATTTAGGGTTTAAGGTTTAGGGCGTAGGATTTAGGGTTTAAGGTTTAGGATTTTTGGATTTGGGATTTAGGGGTTAAGGTTCCAGGTTTAGGGTTTAGAGGTTAGGTTCCAGGTTTAGGGTTTGGGGCTTAAGGTTCCGGTATGGGATCTAGGATTTAGGGTTTAAGGCTCGAAGTTGGTTTGGGGCATTTGGGGTTCAGGGTTAGGGTTGAAGGTTTGGATCGAGGGTTGAGGATTTTTGGTTTAGGGCTTAGGCTTTGGGTTGAGGGTTTAAGGCTTGTAGGTTTTGAGGTTTAGGCTCAGCGGTTTGGATTTAGGGTGTTTGGGTTTAGGGCGTAAGGTCTAGGATTAGGGAATTGGGTGTATGTCAGGTGGCTGCGTCTCATGTTTAGGGTTCAGGGTCCAGGGATTGAGGGTATTCGGGAGTCGTGTATGCACGCTGCATCGGGGCTAGACAGAGCTTGCAAACAAACACAAAAAAGTTCTCTACAAGAGGCACAACAGCGGCCCACACGAGACCCAAAAGTTAAGCCCAAAAAACTGGAACCGCTAAGATGCAAATCCTGGACCTTAAGCCTAAAACCTTGAACCCCTATACAGCCCAGAAAGCCGTGGTGAAAGTGCCAATAAGCAAAACACAAAACCTGGGCAAAACTCAGGATACACGTCTATGCACTAGTAAAAGCCCAAACCCTTGCTCCCCCAACCCCTAAATCCTAAACCCTAAAACCCTAAAGCCCTAAACTCTAGGTCCCGAAACGTCTTAACCCCAACCCCCTAAACCCTAGCCCCTAATCCCTAAACCCTAAACTCCCTAAAGCCCCCCAAACCCTAAAGACCCTAAAACCTTAAACCCTAAACCCTCATCCGTACTTTCTAAACCCTACAGTAATCCCTAATCCCTATTGAAACCCCTAAAATCCCTAAAGACACTAAAACCCCAAACCCTAAACCTTAAAGCCCCTAAACTCCCTAAAGCCCTTAAAACCCCCAAATACCACCTAAATCCTAAGCCCTAAACCCTAAACCCTAAACACTAAATCCTAAACCCTAAATCCTAAACCCTAAGCCCTATATAATTTAATGCCCTATATGAGCCCCCTTTAAGAAGTTTACAAATGCCAGCCTCCAGCAAGGTAAGTCTTAGAGATGCTCTTGATGGCGGTGGCCCAGGCTGCCTATAACAATTGTTATTACAATTACTTTGTTTTTGTTTTTTCTCGGGTGGGAGTGTGTCATTTTGAGCTTGAAGTCTTTAACATTTCAAAATTAAGGAAAGTAGGGTACCCTAAGTAATGGTAAGTTTATATGGGCTTGGGGGTTTAGAGATTAGGGGTTAGGGTTTAGAGTTTGGGGGTTGAGGTTTAGGGTTGGGGCTTTAGGGGTTCAGGGTTTTGAAGCCACGCGGATCTACGCGTTTCAGAGAAGGACTTCAAGCATTTAGGTGTTTTTAGGGTCATGGGCTCCCATGGACTTCTAAGGTAGGTTTGGGGTTTAAGGATTAGGGTTGAGAGTTTGGGGTTGGGGTTTAGGGATTGGGGATTTGGGAGTTGGGGTTTAGGGCTTGGGGATTAGGGTTTAGGGTTTGCGGGGTGGGGTTTAGGGTCTAGGGGTTAGGGTTTGGAGTTTAGGGGTTAGGGTTTAGGCTATTTAGGATCTACAGGGCTTCATGAGCTCAATATTGCGCAAACAATTCATGGACAGGGATTCCGATCAGGAAATATGCTCGGGAATAATTTCAACCACCAAAGGGAACCCTGTGTCTACCCCTAAGGGGCCCTGGGCAAGCAAAATGCTGACAGCAACCGACATGGACAATACAACTGAGGAGGGGTTTCGGATAACATTTCACGTATACAAGTAGAGCAGGATTGTAGCAGGGAAATCATCTTGGCAAATTCTTTGGCAATTTCCCCAAATAGGGGGACCCATATAGAACCCTAAATACTACATAGTCCCCATTATAGGGATCCCCCAAGAAACGTAGATTGAAGGATTTAGGATTCTTTAGGGTTTAGGGTTTAGGGGGTTCAAGAGCTTTACGGCTTAACGGCTTCGAGCCGTAGCGTTTGGCGAGCGCAGGGGTTCATGAATTTGGGAGAATACTGCTGGTACGAAAAAAATCCTGCATGACCTTAGCATACTAAACTCCTAGGGCCATGCAGGATCTGTTGCAATCTGCTGGCCCCCTTTACTTCTAACATACTGACTGTTCAAAATAGAATAGAATATCATAATGGGAATATAGAATATTAGGAGGTGGTGGTGGATTTTCACACTTAGTGAGGCGATTTTTGCAAGCACAGGATCACGGGGCTCTGAGATTAAAGCCTGCCACCTGCGCAGCTTGCACGACTTAGTCCTCAACCCTAAGCCCACAACCCTAAGCCCTAAACCCGAAGTTCTAAACCCTAAGCCCTAAACCCCAAACCCTAAGCCCTAAACCCCAAACCCTAAGCCGTAAACCCCAAACCCTAAACCCTAAGCCCTAAACCCCAAACCTAAAGCCTAGAGCCTAAATCCTAAACCCAAAGCCCTGAGCCGCCTGCGCAGCTTGCACTTCCTCCTCAGAGATGGAGGGCACGAAGGGCACCTTGGCCAGGCTGGAAGGGCTTACAGTACTCCTCAAGTAGACAGAATATAGGGTATGCAGGGTATATAGGGTATATAGTTTAGGGTTTAGGGTTTAGGGTTAAGAGATTAGGGTTTACGGTTTAGAGTTTAGGGTATAGTCCCCCTTAAAGTAGATAGAATATGGGGCTATGTGGGGATCTACCTGCCCTATGGAACGTATCGCCTACTTCCTTGATATCCACGTGCCCCACTGCTGCATTGAACAGACATCTGGACTCATCTGCAAATGATACGAAACCGGCTGTTCGGGACCTGCATACTCGGAATATGGAGAGAAAGCATGCTCAATCCTTGAACCACAACCCAGGAACTGAGGAATGGTGCAGGAAGATGCGCACTTTCCCATCGGCATTCTTCTTGTAACCAAAGGTGTACTCCACCTGCACGGTGCTTGTTGATGGTTATACCATGCAAAGGTAATACAAGTTCAACGAAAGGGGGAGAATGTTGCACTTGCTTCTTATAAAGAGGCCCTCTTTAATATGTTTTGGTGGCCGCTCAATGAGCTCCAGGGCAATGTTTGACGACCCCCCTTTAGGTTGTTTCAGTTTTTGAGGTCCTAGCAGAATACAGACCTTCCCTTCGAAATCAATACCCAATAAGAGAACCGAGGAAGTACCAGGGTGTTCATATATATGCATACCCCCCTGTGTCACATTCAAGTCTTACTCTATTGGGGGCTGTGATGGGTTATCCCTGCAAAATACTAGTCCACCTTGGTCTTGCTTCCATCCGCGCAGCTGGTGAAATAGTAGTTTCCCATGGCGATGGCTGTGTTGCCGTTCACGTCCATCTGGTGGTTGTCGAACACAACCTCCGCCCAGCCCTTGCCGCCGTTGATGGCGAAGCCGGCATCCTCCTTATGACCGTCCGTCACCGCCTTGTGCCCAACGAAGTAGGACATGGCATCGGCGGCTGTTGGCCGGAATTGGGCTTCGACTGCCTTGGTAGGCTTGAACAGCACGTTGGAGCGGCCGTAGCCATAGAGCTCACCAGCTGCTTTGGTAGCAGCTGCGACATAGTCACCTGTGCGCAGCCAATCTGGTGACACACAGGGCCATATGGGGGTTGCAGGAGGACTATTTAAGGATTCTACTTACAGAGGTGTCTTGAGTAGCAACGCCTCCCTCGAGGTAGGTCTTGGAAATGTGCTTGATGGCGTTGGCCCAGGCCGCCTGCGCCTCTCGCACATCCTTCTCGCAGATGCTGTCGGAAGAAGCCGCCGGAGCAGAGGTGAAAGGCACCGAAGAATGGTGCAGGAAAATGCGCACCTTGCCGTCGGCGTTCTTCTTGTAACCAAAGGTGTACTCCACTTTGGTCTTGCT